TCTTCTTTTTTGTTTTTTTTTAAGACTAGTCAAGTGCAGTAGTGAGGGGGGGTAGACAAATAGGTCGACCAGTAATTGACTGTAAGCAATCGTTGTGAGATCTCACTACCTTCGGACCAGCCGGCTCAGCCTTCAAGCCTTTAAGACCCCAGATGCTATATCTTTTGATAGCCAGGCACCATCACCTTTCTTTACCATATTTGCTTATTCACCCACTTTGTCTTCATTGATTGTGTCCGATAGGTGAGCATCGTAGAATGCCAGTTTAGTAGAACAAAGTATTCTTGCATGGAGGGGATACTTGAGTGGTGGCCCAATGTCCATCTGCTACCTCAATACTAAACCTATAAATATAAGCACATAGATCTGTTTCCCCATCCTCATGCATAAATATATTTACATATGTACATGCCTTTATTTAGATGCCCTTTGCCTCCTAGCTATTTCCTCTATTTTCTTTGACTTTCCTCTTGTCCCACCATCATGCTCAGTCTTCATTTGGGTTTTAGTAATTCCTCTTGGTTACATTACCATTAAACATGCCCTACCAGGCCTCCTACACCCTCCCCCCGGAACGTTAGGTCCCATTGTTTTCTCCTCCAGATTGTTCATCCAGCCTATCTTATTTAGACAGACCTGCAGAGATAATAACCTGCACAATAACATGCACAAAAACAGCAAGACCAAGCAACAATATACAACAAAAGAACAATAACAACAAAACAACAAGAAAGAAAAGCTTGTAGTTAGTTCAAGGACTGTTTGTTGGCCAGTCCAGTCTGTTGGGGTACTACCCCCTGGCCCCAAAGTCCACCTTAAGCATTGCCTTGGGACCTTGCCGCTCAGTTCCCTTGCTGTTCTGTTGCACTCCCTTAGTCTTTTGCCTTGGTTTGTCTGGATCAGATCAGGCGCAATTCCCACACTGTGTCTCTGGTGTTGTCCCCTGTCGGGTTGTGGGTCAGTGAGGGACGTTGTGTCTCATAGTGGGGCCGACCACGTGGTCCTCTCTGTGGACTAGCTGCTCTAATCGGGAACATTGTCCTCAAGGTCTGGTGGGCCAGGATGTGCTTCACTCTTTCCTCTCCCCCTTCATCTGCCCCCGTCCCTCTCCCTGAGCTGCAAAGTCAGTGCAGTCCTTTGAAATAAATTCTTCTGGGGGGAGGGGCAGGTGTCCATGTAGTAGTTGGGATTGGGGCTCGCCCCGTTATTGAGGGTTCTTATCACAGCTCTTATCACAATCCATACATACATTCATTGTGTCAAGCACATTTTTTTTACATATGTTGCCATTATCATTTTCTTTGTTTTTTTCTTGTTAATCATTTTATCGGGGACTCATACAACTCTTATCACCCTACATACATACATCAGTTGTGTAAAGCACATTTGTACATTCGTTGCCCTCATCATTCTGAAAACATTTGCTCTCCACTTAAGCCCTTGGCATCAACTCATTTTTCCCCCTCCCTCCCTGCTCCCCACTCCCTCATGAACCCTTAATAATTTATAAATTATTACCATTATCATTTTCAAGACATTTTCTTTCTACTTGAGCCCTTAGATGTAAATTATATTAAATTCAATTTCCTTGTCCATAAATAGAATTCTATTAGCCATATCTGTCACATATATCATCTGTGGCTACTGCAAAGATAGAATTGAATTTACTATAGAGACCAAATGGCATGTAAAACCTATAAAGTATACTATCTGGCCCTTTATAGAAAATGTTTGCCTGCTCATGTGTTAAAATTACTGACACTATATGCCTCCTACTCCATTGTCAATGCATAAGAAGATACATGGAAGGACAAATTGATTCGTTGGGTGTGTGAAGAACCAAAGATTAAGAAACAAAGTTCTCTATTTGTCTGCCTTTTAGATTGAAATGTAATTTTTATTTTAAAGTATCCTCAGTTTATGTACTCTTGCAATTAGGGAAGCAGAATTCGAGAAGAAAAGAAGTGCATGAGTGCATCACTTGAAAAAATATATGATGGCACTGCAAAAAGTTTGTGGAAAAATGGAATTTAAAAATAATAGAATTTTTTGGTAAACTTTTAAAGTTCTCCATATAATAAACCAAACTCACTGCTATCAAGTCAATGCTGACTCATAGTGTCCTATGTCTTCCCCCCACCCCCACCCCCCCTCCACCCATTGTTTTGAGACTATCTTTTTATGGGAGTAGAAGACCTAGTCTTTCTCAGAGCTACTGGTAGTTTCGACTGCCGACTATGCAGATTTCAGCCCATTGGGGAACCCCCACCACTACCAGGCCTCCATAGAACAGGAGAGGAAAAAGCCAAAGAGAGAGAAGACCAAGGGCAACGTCCATAATATTCCAGCCAATGCTTTTGGGCACAGAGAGGCAGTTTACATCAATGACAGGTTTCAAATTTTTTGGTGCTCATAGTATTTCAACTACTTTTTTCTCATGTTTTATTTAAAAGCAAAGTGTACAAAAACAGTACAGAAAATTTAGATATTCATATCCTTAAACCTTCAGTTTGGTAATATATTAAAATAAAAGCTAGCATTTTAAGTATAGGTACAAGATTCCAGTAGAACCTTACTATTTTATTTTTCACTTATCTTTTAGGTCTCTTTCAGTTCTGTGTAGTAGCTCTACAAAAAAAATAATGAAGCATATAGTTTAGTAAAAAACTTTATTATAAAGATCTTAAAGAAATCACTTTTTCCAATAGTCAAAAGGCCCATAGAAATAAAATTTATTTATTTTAGCTATTTAATCTGTTCTCCAAAAATTTTTTTAAGTACTCTAATTTTTCATAATTTAAAGTTTATTTACTTGTTTTCTGATCTTGCTGTAGGTGTGCCTCAGCAGGGGAAAATTACTAGCTGAAAAAGCCATCAAGGATCATGTAAGTTGAAATGATAAAAATTCTAGTGGAAATTATAGATATTCTTGAAAACATCCATCCCTCGTTGTTTTTGTTTTTTTAATAATTAAAGGCTAAACTTTCTTGGAGAAACATCTCCATCTTGTGGCTTTTAAAAATATTACTGGAGACTTCTGAAACTTGTGGTGGCTTTGTACTTTAAAATAATTTCTTAAACTTACCCTGTAATGTGCATTAAATAGTTAAGAACTTGAATACAATAAACAGGACTGATTTTAGAAGTTAAAAAAGATTTTAATGTAACTTCTGTAAGGTTTGTTCTGAATAACAGCCTATCTGACAATAAATATTAAGTAATTGAATATGACTTTGTTCAAATTTATCATTAAAATACTGATTTTTCTAGCAAGTATCAAACTTTGTTTTTGCATTTACAGGATTTTATTTCTTCAAATAGTATATTATCAAATGCGTTAACATGGGGAGTAAAAATTCTTCATATTGATGGTAAGGGTTTTATTGTTTTTTGACAGTGTTTGTTACTTATCTTTTATCCATGTTCCTCACCTTAGATAGTAAGAATTCTGGTATCCAAGGATACCTATAGTAATAATTTCTTCATCAAATTCAATATAGTTATAAGAAATAGCAGTGTTTATAACTGACAAAGCAAAAAATTTTAATCTCAGTCCTTTTTCTTTCAATAAAGACCTTAGATACTATATTGAAAAAAAGAAAAAAGAAGTGTATTTACTCAAGAAGTCAAGCACTTCCATGAGAGATGTGGTATGTCTTTCCTTAATTTTATACTAATTTTTAAGTGTCTCATCATTGTAAGGTTGTTAGTTTTATTTGAAGTGAATATATATTTTAAGTAGGTTGTGAAAAGCTATGTATGTATATTGTGAATCCCATAACAACTACAAAGCAAAACTGAAAACAGATGAAGCTCAGAGTCATTTGATAACTCTTTAAATAAACAAAAAAGAGGAAAGGGAAGAATGAAGGAATAAATTTAATACTAAATTGTAAGGTTTAAGTCCAGTCATTATCAATAATTTCGTTAAGCCTAAATCAATCGTAGATAACAATGAAAAGACAGAGATTGCTAGATTTTAAAAGGACAATCAAATACTATAAGAAACATATAATATAAGGGCAAATATGATATAAATAGAAGGATATCCGGAGATAAACTATACCAACACTAATTAGAAGAAAGCTAGATTGTATAAATATATCACACTAAACTTCAGAATAAAGAATATTACTAGGGGAAAAAAAGAATATTACTAGAGTCTAGTTAAGGGGAACTTTATACAATAATATGTAACAATCATCAAAAAGATAATAAAATACTGAATGTAGCATACTTAAAAACAAGTTTCAGAGCACATGAATCAAGAACTGAAAGCATAAAATAGACAAACCCACAAATCTAGTAAGTTACTTCACATTCTTGATTGAGTTAATTTTTTTTTGAGAGTTTAAGAGAGAGCTTTATATCAAAGACCAATTGTATGTTGAGAACACATCCAAGCCCAGTCCAGATCAAGTCCATAAGTCTGTTATTAGCCCATATGTCCATACTAGTCTGTACATTTCTCTTTGGACTCACAGCATATTCAGTGATGATGAGTGCAGGAAGATCACAGGCCAGTGGGTGGAAAATCTTGTAGGTACCATATCAGTGGATGCATCGGTTGAGTTGATTTTTAATAAAAATTTTCTCCCATAAAACTTAATTATTACTTATACAGTGAACCCTCGTTTATCGCGGTTAATCGGTTCTAGACCCTACCGTGATAAATGAAATTCCGCGAAGTAGGATTCCTTATTTGTAAATCAAATAT